CCAGAAGACTGCTTTCTTCATAGTCACCGCCGTGAAAGCCTCAAATCTTACACATAAAATCCTGTATTCTGCTGGCCAAAACTGTCATCAGATTCAAAGGAAATATCTACTAAAGGTACTTCAGTGCATATATTTTATACAGATCCAGCAGAAATAAGAAGCAATGCAACAACAGCATTAATCATGGCTGAAATACTGAAACTGTGAAACACTGATCAGGACATTTCTAGGAAATATGATTTTAACTGGACTGAAATGGATCTGCACACAACCAAATTACAGTAACAATGAACATTCAAATTAAATAACAACAGGAAATATTTACAGTTACCTAGAATATGGCATTGGAGCATCATGTTGTGTTGGATATTATACACGTAATTACAGAAGTTCTGCCTACACAACTAAAATACATAATGGTAATTATATATTATTTATTAATTGCTATATGTTTTGGCCATGGAGGCCATCTTCAGGAAAATGCTACATTCATTTACATCATTGTCATGTAATACCTATCCCCTACAAGTTCACATACCCCAATCCTCCCCATTATCTATCCTGCTTACCACATTTTAACTACACATTTAACTAATCCAGGCAGCAGGCTACGCCATAGCTCAAGCGGTTAGTCGCTGGCTGCCCATCGCAGCAGCCGGGGTTCAATCCCGGGTCTGGTCAAGTGGGATTTGTGGTGGACAAAGTGGCGCTGGGGCGGGTTTTCTCCGAGTACTTCAGTTTCCCCTGCCAATCTTCATTCCACCAAATTCTCCATCATCATAATCACCCGGGGCAGGCTACAACAGGCCAATCAGTGGTCGCCGTGTTGAGTGGACCCAGTTGGACTCCACCCCCCACTATGAGAATTAAAAAAAAAATTTAAAACCAGGCAGCACATTTTAAGACAAGTGAACATGTAAACGTTAGCCAATGCTGAGAAGTGCAGTATTATTATTATTATTGGAGGGGGTGGGTTTCCCCATGCACCACGACCAGTGGTCTATTGTACGTCCCCGTGATATTCTACCACTCTCTATACCCTACCGATACTGGTGAGTGCCATCAGTCCCGACTCAGCCAGCGAGTTCGGCCTATACTGGCTCAGCGGTATCTCGATACTTCCCCCCATCTACCAGAGGCGTTAGAGACTATTGTTGGGCGGGAAATGTCCTTAATAATTTGGCTCAGAGGCCTCCTTGAGGCATGAGGTTCTTTTACGTGCTGTAAAGCTACGACACGGGACCCACGGCTTAAAGTCCCTCTCGGAGGACTTGTTCCCTGAATTTTTCCGCCCTTAAAAATTCCACGACCTCCGCCGGGTTTGAACCCGCATACCTTGAGTCATGAGGTGGGAACATTACCCCAAGACTACGGAGGCCGCTGAGAAGTGCAGTAAGCAATAATGAATGTACCAACTGCCTTAAGATGACCACCATGGCTGAAATATGTTGCAATAAATAAATATATATATATATAATACACCATTATATACTGTAGTTGTGCAGATGAATCTTCTAAAATTACATAGGCAAACAGCTAGTTAACATGATTCAGAGCATGATGAGAAGTTCAGCATAGAACTTATGGCAATCTCATAACAATGGCCCCTTATCTCTCTATACAGCAACAATGTTATGGTGCTATATGCGATTATGGTAATGCAAAGTGCAGACATGTCCAGAGTGCACTAATTCGGCTGGTAAGTGCATTTGCATTAGCAGGCTGACATCAGCTGCAGTCATTTTCATGAAAAGCTTCTTGAAACCTGTATTCTACATTTGTGTAAATTATCTGTAAAGAGCATGTACAGACGAAACTACTCACCACTTGGTACACTGACGTGACCACCACCCCCAGTGTAGCATACACTGTACCCAGAACATTGAACTGGATATCATAGTAGAAATTCATGCACACTCCCAAGGTAATGGGTATCTGTAATCAAACATTGCACAAAGCAAAACTAATGAAGATAGTCGAATTAATCCAGGCCACATCCCATTTCAGAACTAACTGCTTGAGGTTCCTGACCTACCTAATATGAAGATAAAGGCAAAGGTCTCCGCTTGCTTAATTTAACTCTCTAAGCCACATGCATCATATACTTTAATATTAAAAACTCTCAATCTGCTCATAGAAAATATCTGTGTCTTTCATATGACTCAGAATAAACAACACTAATTCCATAAACTGCATTAACCACTTAGTCTTTAAAATGAAGACACAGCATCCCTCCTTTCAAGTAGGAATGCGATTCAAAGATACTGTTCAGAAGAACTTCATCCTTCAAAGGCTTAAACACTATGCCAAGGAGATGTATGTGGGGATAGAGGTATAGCTCCATATATATTTCAATTCAACAGTAGACAGAGCTGAGTCAGCTTCACCCCCTGGTTGCTTTAACCCCAATGAAAGAGCCGCCCACACTCACTGGATAGGAAGTTGGATGGAACCCAGAGCCAGTCTCAACAATGTGGAAAAGAGAAGAACCTCTTGAACCTGTTGGGAAGTGAACCCTGATTCCTCAGTTGTCCAGCCTGTAGCCTAGTCCCTATACCAACTGAGCTATCTAAATAAATAAAGAATTCAAGTAAATAAATAAATAAATATATTAATATGAAATAAATATTCTTGCATTTTTCTTGAATGCACATCCCTCTCATAATGAATTTTTCTGATTAATTCCAAAGCTTACTTTTAGTTATAGTCTGGGTTTCTTTTTCTTGTGGTTCCAGAAAAAAAATTGAATTTCAACAGGAAATAGTTAAAAACACACTTTTTCAAAAATATCAAACCTCAAACAGTTTGAAAATATCTGGCAAAACAGCTCCACTTTACAAAGATGCTAGATGTCAGAATAATTCATTCACTAATTAGTTTTTCTGGTAAGGTGAACATTGTAATTTTTTACTGTTTTTTTAATGTTTTGCTCTTCTTCACACCTATTTGATAATATACGTATACAATGGCAGAAGTGCAATCATTGCCATTTTATATATATGGATGCAATGGTATGCCATCATGGAAGTACATTATGTCCTCTACCCTTACAGTGCTTTTAATTTCCTACAGGTGGTAACAACATGGTGGATGAACAAACCTGTGATAGAAAAGTGATAGTAATGTCATTTAACATAGGGTCATAATACATATAAAAAAGAAGTATAGCTATTCCTGTAAAAGGTCATGGAGGGCCATTACTGGATCAGATGAAGTTGACCTTCAACATAAAAAAAACGTGATGAGAGAGTTAAATATATGGTTCAAGAAAAATAATCTTATAATAAATTTTGAAAAAAAAAAAAAAACATTGGTATGTCATTTCATCCAAAACAAATGAGAGTTCTGTTAAGAGCACAAATCAATTTTTAAACTTTAGAAATTACCTATAAATCAGAACTAATATTTTTAGGTATTTACATCACAGAAAACCTAAAACGGGGCACCCATGCTTGATTTTTAAGAGCTATGCTATGCAAAGTAGTTTATATGATAAAAACATTAAAAGAAACGTTGAGCCCATATATGATAAGAAATATCTACTTTTCAAATTTTGAGTCCTGTCTGCAGTACGATATTATATTATGGGGAGGGGATAACGAATGTGACAAACTCTTTAAACTTCAAAAAAAGGTCCTTCGAATTATCAGTGGGCTTAATAATTGAACATCATGCCGACAAATTTTTAAAGATAATAATATTTTAACACTGGCAGTGCTATACATTTTTGAAGTGATATGTTTTATTAAAAAAATAAAGACTTTATGGCAAAAAATTTGGACATTCATAATTACAACACGTGAAGAAAACTAAATTTACGTGTAAATCATTGGAATACAGTTCTTTTTAAGAAAAGCGTTATAAATATGGGTATCACCTTGTATAATAAGGTCCCTGAGTAGATAAAATAAAAAAAATTTAACTCTTTTAAGAGGGACTTAAAATCCTGGCTCTTGAAACATTCCATTTATTTCGTTGATGAATATATGTCCCTAAAATTCTGAAGTGAGTGTGTTATGGTTTCATGTTATGACAAATATCTTGTCCTCACTTAATCTATAAAAGAAAACGTTGGATGTTGGGTTTCTTTTGGTACTGAATTGTTGAAAGTGGGATGATATATTGTATGATTGATTTGTATGAAATCTGTACGTAATTAAGTTTCATAGTATTGTTCACTCATGTATGATACGTATGTTATTTTAATATGTAGTAATTGATTTGTTCTATACCTAGAGGTTGCATCTCCAAATATGGATTCTCAGAAAAAATAAACTGATTGATTGATTGATAAGGTTGTGAGATGTCAGGGCTCCCATATTTTCTAGACAATCGGCTCACAGATGACAGTAAGGTTGTCACTTATGCACCACCTGCCCTCTACCCCCAGGAAAGGAAGACTTATATTTAAAAAATATGCAACATATGTTAAGGTATGTTTTGGTACAATGTAATATAGCAAGAAGCTAATTGCATAAAATCTACACTTAGCTTTGAATTTGGTGATGATAACACAGGTCTGCAAAAATATTTTTTTTTCAGCTGCATGGAATATTTTTGGTAAACTTTATGTTTTCTAGGATGCTGAATCCAAAAATGATCTCAATTTCCCCCTATCACGTACGGTTTTTTTGGAAAATAATAGGGGTTTACAATGAAAAATCATAACAGTGATGAAAAAAATCACTAATTTTATTACATTGAACTAAATATATTATTTCTCATAATTAAACAAACAATTCCTTCACGATATATTTAACATTCTGTGTTCAGTCTTTTTGCCTGTGAAACCTTTTCTTCTTCTCTTTGATGCTTCTCCAAACACGCTTTTGCTTTCCATTTTCCGTTTGCCGCTTGATCATCCAGCAGTAGTCAGCTAGCATATTTGCATTCCATCTTCCTTGGTAGCGTCTTTCGATATCACGGACATCTTGGTGAAATCGTTCACCCTGCTCTTCACTACAGGCTCCCAAGTTTTCGGGAAAATAGTCAACATGGGAGTGTAAGAAACGAACTTTTAAGCTCATCTTGCAACCTTGAGCTTTATATGCAGCCAACAGGCGTTGTACATTGGTTTTGTAGAGAGGGTCTTTAGTGTT